AAATGGTCATTCGACCCCAAATGGGGTCCCGACCCACAGGTTGAGAACCACTGTCTTATACCATTTCAGTCCAGTCTCTTCTTAAAAACTTCTAGCATTGGAGCATTCACAACTTCTGGAGGAAGTTGTTCCACTGATTAATTGTTCTAACTGTCAAGAAATTTCTCCTTAGTTCTAGGTTAGTTCTCTCCCTGATTAGTTTGCATCTGTTGCTTCTTGTCTGGCTTTCAGGTGCTTTGGAGAATAGCTTGACTCCCTTTTCTTTGTGGGAGCCCCTGAGATATTGGAACACTGCTATCATGTCACCCCTCAGCATTCTCTTCATTAGACTACACATGACCAATTCCAGCAACTGTTCCTTATATGTCTCTAGTCCCCAGATCATTTTTGTTGCTCTTCTCTACCCTCTTTCTAGAATCTCGGCATCTTTTTTACATTGTGGCAACCAAAACTGGATGCAGTATTCCAAGTGTGAACTTATCAAGGCACTGTAAACTGATATTAACATTTCACATGATCTTGATTCTGTCCCTCTGTTAAATCCCTCACATGATCTTGATTAAATTCCTCTGTTTATCACTGTGGACTAAGTTTCAGAAGAAGGCTTAGGATGACCACATTGATGACATGCCTGCTGATAGGAGAATTTGGGTTTAGACAGAATCACATAAAATATATTAGTGTACCAGTAATGGTAGAAGTAGAATTGCTTGGGTTGCTAATAATGACCTAGTATTGGTGGGCTGTAGAATCTAATTCTGATGGATAGGAGTGAAGACACAAAGAACCAAATCTTCCAATCTGACATGTTAGTTTTTCATTCTGAGAAAGTTCCATGACTTGGGTTTTCTTCTGAACTATTGTAAAAAGCCAGGTGAAGGCTTTGGCCAGCTCTGATTGATGCATCAGATATGGTCCTACTATCTTTGGTTATGGATGGGGTTGTCTGCTTCAGACAGACTAGATGCACAATTTGGGGATCCTTCTGGACTCACAACTCCTGTTCAATTGTGGTGAGGAGAGCCTTTGCACAACTGTGTGTTATGCACCAATTATGCCTATTCCTGGACCGATGACCTCTTTTCACAGTCACCCGCACCTTGGTCACCTACCAGTTGGATTATTGTAATGCATTCTATATGTGGCTGCCCTCAAAGGTTATGTGGAAGCTTCAGCTGATACAAAATGCAGAGGCCCACATAGTTCTGTGAAAACTAAGATTTACACATGTATAACATGTGTAACAGATCCAAGACACACACTTGTACAAAATCCACAACAAAAGTATTAAATTTATCTTTAGGAAGATGCAGTTGTGTTTTAAAGCAGGGGGATATGTCTTTGGAATCTTGAATTTTATCATTTTACATCTCTTTTGGGTAGTCCTAAATTTCAGAGTCCTTCTAGCACAAATTTTCCTTTCTGGATAGCCCTGAGAATATTTATACATTACATTTTTATCTTGTTAGACTGCCTTGAAATCCAAATGTAATATATTTCATATAGTTTCTCTTATTTTTATATTGACTCAAAGACTGTGGTGAGTTATGTGTGCTAAACAGTATTTTTTCATGCTAAGTTAATGCAATGTGCAATCCAGATCTCAACATCAACTAAATGGGGAAAAAAAACATAATAAATGGAAATTTTTAGTAAAAGCCAGCATTTACACTTCACATCAATTAGTAGCTACAAATGTTTTTTTTCCTTTAGAAACATTTTTTTGCTTAGGACAGCCCATGATATATAAATGATAATATTGTAAAGTGTGAATGATAGTATTTACAATTGTAACAGCTATTATGATCTTAATATATACATTATCCTGTGAGATAAGATTTAATATTCTCAAATATTAAATTAAATTTATATACCTATGTGAATGTACACCATGAAAGAAATATGAAGATATGAATGTGAAAAGTGGTCTTTCCATTTTATATGAGCTAACAAGCTTTTGTTTGACAAATAGTCCTCAATGGACTGCAGAACATTTATGTAAAACCTTTGTAAATGTATTACTATTGGGTTATATATAGCATGTATGTGTTTCTTTTTCAGTTTTATTTTACTTACCTCTTTTAATTTCTTTTGTTTTTATATTTGTTGGGAAATGCTCAGCCAGGCAGGGAGGAGGAATCCTAGTGGACAATAATTTAAATATGAGCCAGCAGTGTGCTGTAGCTGCCAAAAAAGCCAACACAGTGCTAGGCTGTATTAACAAAGCGATAGAATCAAGATCACGTGAAGTGTTAATACCACTTTACAATGCCTTGGTAAGGCCACACTTGGAATACTGCATCCAGTTTTGGTCACCACAATGTAAAAAAAGATGCTGAGACTCTAGAAAGAGTACAGAGAAGAGCAACAAAGATGATTAGGGGACTGGAGGCTAAAACATATAAGGAACGGTTGCTGGAATTGGGTATGTCTAGTTTAACAAAGAGAAGGGTGGGGGGGGGACATGATAGCAGTGTTCCAATATCTCAGGGGCTGCCACAAAAAAGAAGGAGTCAAGCTATTTTCCAAAATGCCTGAAGGCAGGTCAAGAAGCAACGGGTAGAAACTAACCAAAGAGAGAAGCAACCTAGAACTAAGGAGAAACCTCCTGATAGTTAGCACAATTAACCAGTGGAACAACCTGCCTCCAGAAGCAGTGAATGCGCCAACACTGAAAGTTTTTAAGAAGAAACTGGACAGCCATTTGTCTGAAATGGTATAGGGTTTCCTGCCTGAGCAGGGGGTTGGACTAGATGACCTCCAAGGTCCCTTCCAACTTTATTATTATTTATTATTATGGATCATCGCACAGTCAGCCAGATGTTCAGACTGGATTTGGCATTTTGTCTACCTATTGAGTCCTTACCCAGGACCTGGGATAGGCAGATGTGGATGTTTGATGGTATTACAGGTATCGTCGCAGGATGGGAGCAGTTCCTAGTAAGGCCGCCTTTTGCAATTGACTTCTTCTTCTTCTTCTTCTTCTTCTTCTTCTTCTTCTTCTTCTTCTTCTTCTTCTTCTTCTTCTTCTTCTTCTTCTTCTTCTTCTTCTTCTTCTTCTTCTTCTTCTTCTTCTTCTTCTTCTTGTTGTTGTTGTTGTTGTTGTTATTATTATTATTATTATTATGGAGTTAGCCTTGAATTGTTTCAGTTACAAGAAATCCAGGACTGACACACCCCCCCCCAAGATTCATGGAACTTTATTTATCTTTTCCCAAAGGAAGACAAGCAGTCTAGGTGTCAAGCTACAAAACCTACGTTTCTACCACTGTAATGCTTCTAGCTTGTCAACAGTATTGGGGGGGGGGGAAGAGGGGAGAATTTTGGATCCACAGATGTTCCTTATCAATGTGAGAGCTGAAGCCATTGAAGAGTTGTTTTGGCGAACTGAAGTTTCTTCTCATAATAATTACTGGAAGATATATTAGACAATATGAACTGTCAGAAAGGGGAGGGAAAGTTTCACTCTTTTAATTATCTGCTTCCCATCATTTTCTCACAGCTAGCTTCCTTTCTATCTTACTGGTTTGTTAATGCCTAATAAAGTTTACATTAGCAATCGCAATGTCTCTGGTGTTTTGCTTTGTTGGGCTTCTTAGCTGGAACTTGACACTAGGTAGATTTCTCTATTATAGGTAGAATTGTAATCAAGAACTCTTCAAGTCTTCATCTATTGCTTGGACCTGTCAATATTTAATTAACAAAAGACATTTCCCCTGCAAAAGACTTTCTTTTTTTAGATCCCCACCAAAGCTTGGAGAGAAAATTCAATAGGTTTTCTCCTTAATTTGGTTACCCATTAATAGTGTGAATTTGGGGAGTGTATTACTTCTTTAGATTCAAAATTTAGATTGCTTTAAAAATCACCAACCAGGATGAATGCATTAGAAACAAATCATTTAAATGGAATAGAATTTGAATGAACTAAAAATTCTGGCATGGTGGAATATAAGAAGTAATGATAAAACAACCTTTTAACTATTTTAGGGTACAAATTGCTACATTATCGAATAGTCTCATATCACGTGGTGTGATTCTATATGAAATTAAATGGACACCATCTTCTTTTATGTTATGGGTGTCCATAACATAAAAGAAGATGATATGTATATTTTATCTGGAATAAATCCATGTAAAGGTTTCAACTCCGTTTGCATATAAAGTAGAGGACCATTGGATTTGGTGAATTGTGATTCAATTGTATATTAATAGAGGCTACTGAAACAATAAATGAATGAAAGTGATGGAAAGTGATGGAGAGTCCTGTGGACATGAAGGGGAGGAACTAAATGGAAATCACTCATGAAGTAAAGAGAGATTTCTTAATAGACCCACCTTTTGACTTAATTTCATATTTTATCTGGACTCAAAACTCAAATTGCATATTTACATGTGGTAAGATCCTTCCAGTAATTATTCAGATGATGATAAATATTTTTGATCTGATTTATTTTTAAAATTAGCTTATAATAACTGGTGTTATAATAACTGGCTTTTAATAACCAATTACAACATAATCAATAAAATAAGAAAAATTCAGAGCAAGAAAAGGAAAATAATATTTTTATCCATCTTTCTTGGTTATAGAAAATATATTAATTTGCCTTACACAATGTATTGGACAATAAAGTTGACACCACTAGATTTTGTTTCTGATTTATTTTATTTTTTATTTATTTATAACTTTTAAAAAGAAAACTGTCTCATGGAGAATAGGAGTTCACTTTCAATTTTCAAATGTCAGCTTTGTATTTATATTTACACATAGTAGTTCATTAAATGTAATCTGTCATCTCAAACTTTATGGGGACACATAGAAAAAAAATCCTGGTTTACCTAAAAAATCATTGGTCTTCCTCATTAATTTCTGTGAGACTTTCTTGGATGTTCTTGGGGGGGGGGGGAACTAACTTTGATAGAAGTTCCCAAAACCCCAGATTTCAGAGCTACAAGTAAATCATAATGATAAACAGAAAAAAGAAAAGAAAAATAAAAAGATATTAAACATGTCTTCTTATCAGTTGTTCCCTGTTGTTTAAATCTGGCCTCAAAACAATAATGTAACACTTGGGGAAAAAGATGCAACTTAGGAGCCCAGCACTGGAGGACAAAATGGAGAAGATCTCCACAGCCACCATGGCTTTTCCTCTGGTGCTCAGGTACGTTGGAACAAAGGAGACCCACACACTGCAGAAAGCCAACATGCTGAAGGTGATGAACTTGGCTTCATTGAAACTGTCAGGCAGTTTACGAGCCTGGAATGCTACAATGAAGCTGGCAAGTGAAAGGAGAGCCATATAGCTCAGAACACAATAAAACATAAAGACTGAGCCTTCATTGCATTGTAGAACCATTTCTTCAGTTGTTGAGTGCATGTCTAATTCTGGGAATGGGGGAGAGGTGGATAACCAAACAATACAGATGCTTGCTTGGAGTAGAGAGCAGAGAAGGACAATAGAAACAGCCAGTCTTTTCCCCACCCATGTCCTTATCTGAGATCCTGGTTTGGTGGCCTTGAAGGCAAGAGAAACAAGGATGGTTTTGGCCAACACACAAGAGATGGACAATGAGAAGGTGAGACCAAATGCAGACTGTCTGAGGAGACAGATGACTCTCCCAGGTTGTCCAATAAAGAGCAAAGAGCAGAAGAAGCAAAGGAGAAGGGAGATGAGGAGGGTGTAGGTGAGCTCCCGGTTGTTGGCTTTGACAATAGGACTGTCTTTGTGCTTAATAAATATTCCCAACACCCATGTTGTAGTGAAGAAAAATAAAATAGCAACAGTGGCTAAACTGAGTCCTAAAGGTTCTTCATAAGATAAGAAGCTAATTGTTTTCATGATGCATCCATCTTTCTTATGGTTTGGATATTGATCATCAGGACATTGAAAGCAAGCAACAGTGTCTAAAAGGGAAAAAAAGATTATGTCAGCACAGATTCATAAGAATTATAATTGTTCATTTTCATTTTTATCCATACCCTGATATTTATATCTTTGGTACAAAATATATAAACTGCAGTAGGAAAATATATTTGAACATCTCCCTATGTATGCTTTGTTGTTGGAATTAAGTCAAGTATTACTTTAAAAACATAGAAAAGTATAGCAGGAAAATCTCCACCATGTTTAACTTTGTTTGTTTTCTTATGGTAAAGGACTGTTCCTGTGAAAGTTCATGAACACCTGAAATGATTATTTTTACATTTAAAATCATATTGACTTTAAGATCACAGTTCAAAATATGGTATGTAAATGAATGTTTTCACCAAATTTCAAGTGAAGATGAAAGAGAAAAATTCCAAAAATATCAATAGACATGTTTCAAGTGAAAACTATATACGAAACATAATTTTCTGATGCTGCAAGAGAAGTATGTGTCTCCTTTTATTTTAATATTTCTATTTTTACTTTGTTTGGTCTTTTAAAATTTGCTTTCTTGTGTTTATATACGAAATAAAAATAGTTGATTTAAAATAAGGAATAATTTATTTTTCTTCTTCCTAAACTCTATAATCTATATTATTGCTACCATAAATGCTTTATTAGTTTGTGCAGTGTTCCAAGAAGTAATTATTTATGTCTATAATTTTTTTTTTTTTAAAAAAAATCTTATTTCACTTTGGTATTTTGAGAGTGTTCTTATTTGGTTGGGCACATTGTATGTTTCTGGATTTCTCATCAATAGGAATCATTTTCATAAAAAAAAACAGACATCAGTTCTTTTTTTAAAAAAACAAATTTTTTTGGTTTTTTGATTCTTAAGACAAAGTGCTCGAGACACACCGTGATACTGGGTAATCAAAAATCCAAAAACAAAACATATATAAATAACTCAATCAGTACATCAAGTATTCCCTCTCTATTTCCCTCAAATAGTTTAATATATTTAAAATAATCTATTGACCCCAACAATCTGGGTCTCCATTTTACTGACCTTGGAAGGATGGAAGGCTGAGTCAGCCTTGAGCTGGTTAGGATCAAATTCCTGGAAGTGAACAGAGTCAGCCTGCAATACTGCATTCTAAGTATTGCGCCAGCATGGCTACAATAATACACAGTATGTAGATATTGTAATTTTATAATCACTGTGTTATATTTTGTCTGTGTTTTTTTAAAAAGCAGGTCTGAAATAATCATTTTTTTTTTTGCTCCCTGTATGTTCTCTTCATTGCAATTGAAGAGAGCATATAGGGCAAAAAACATCCTGCAGCTAAGAAGGTTTCACATACATTTACAGTACTGAGGACACAGGTAAACCTCCAAATGGCTTCAATGACTCTCTATAAGAATGCAAACGACCATCTGTCTGCAAAGGAATATAAATCCTTCCATTCTCCACTATTCGGTCAGAACTGAAGAAGCTTCTTGGATGAGAAGTGAAACGACTTCAAAGAAAAACAAGGAAGTCCAGTTGTCTCCTGAGAAAGTAACTTTGGGACAACCATGACCTGGATGACTGAGAATCTCCATAGACATCTTCACTGTAATCATTTTTCAAATCACCATTAAGATGCTTGTTTGATTATAAAGCCTAAGCCATTCCTGGACATTTTATTTAATTAATTAAAACATTGTTGTCATCATTGTTACGTCATCATCATCATCACTTGAAAATTCCATGGTTAGAGTCTATCATTTTTAATCTTATGAGTTTAATTCCATTTTCCCATTTAATTTCTGAATAAAATCTCACGAATACACAACCGGAAAATTTAATTAGTGATCAGCACAACAACTGTACAGCAACAAAACCAGAGGATTTTGTTAACTTACCCATCTCTTTGGAGATTTTCCCCTTTGGACATGGAACACAATCGTAACAGCAGAATTTCTTTCCTTCATTCTTCCTCTTTTGGTAACCAGGGTGACAATACTCGTTGCATAGAGAAAAGGGAAGCACCTAGTTATCAATATTAAAATGTTGGCAGAAGATTTATTGTTCTGAAGAAAAATAATTTCACGAAGGAAAGTGAATATACGTGTCCCAGAACAATGTTCCAGGATCGAATCTGGGTCGTCACCAGGACCAAAAGTTTTATCTTCTGAGCTTTCAGACTAATAATTAATAATAATAATAATAATAATAATGGAAGGGAGTTTGGAGATCATCTAGTCTAACCCCTGCTCTTCTGGGAACATCTCTCTACCCTAGAGAGATGGGCTCCATCATAGGTCTAAAAGCTCAGAAGACAAAATCTCTGCTCCTGGTGACTGATCCAGATTGGATCCTGGAAAAAAAATTTCTTACACTGAAAATGAAATGCTCTCTTGAAAAGAAAAGCCCTGTTTAAGGCTGTACCTGTAGTCCTCAACTTACAAGAGTTTGTTTTTGCAGCATCCCCATGGTCACTTGGTCAAAATTCAATCACTTGACAACTGGCACATATATTTATGATAGTTACAGTGTCCTGGGGCCATGTGATCCCATTTTGCGACGTTCTGACGAGCAAAGTCAAAGGGGAAGCCAGATTCACTTAACAATTACTGTGACAAGAAAGGTTGGAAAATGGGGCAAATATCTCGCTTAGCAGCATAAATTTTGGGCTCTGTTGTGGTTATAAGTCAAGGATTAATTGTACAAAAGGATCAAGAAATAAATTGAATTTGAGAATGTATTTCCAACACAAATTTGAATTTGTGAGCACAGATGATCTGGATGTCCAGATTTGTTTTTTCAATATGCTTCAACATGTGATATATTATTAATTCAAATCATCCATTTGATCAGAAGGATTGAGTCAATTAAATTTACTTGAAATCACACATTTGATGAAGCTTCACTCCAACTAATGGAATCTAGTCACTTAAATGAATGTTTTATTTGTTCATCTTCATGTTCATTTCAACATATGATGGAAGTCTAACAAATATAGTGCATAATATCAGTTATTTTTAGCTTTTAATAAGTAAAGTATTGTTAGCTTTTAACAAGTAAAGCATCTAAAGGCAGAACAAGAAGTACTGGATGGAAACTAATCAAGGAGAGAACCTTAAACACATGTATGTTTTATTTTTTTTCAAAGCACATTTTTAATGTTTTATCCAATTTTTCTGATTTTGTAAAATTTATTTTTTGAAGTCTGTATTTTAATTTCCTGAATAAAATTAAAAAAAAAATAGAAAAGGGGAGAACCAACCTAGAAATAAGGAGAAATTTACTGAAAGTTTGAACAATGAATCAGTGTAACAGCATGTTACACTGATTCATGTTACACTGATTCATGTAACATGTTATTCATGTTACAATTAATCAGTGTAACAACAAGTTTTCAGAAGTTATGAAAAATCACTGGAGATTTTTAAGAAGAGATTGGAGAACAATTTTTTTTTTTGAAATGGTATAAAGTCTCTGCTAGAGCAGTGGGTTGGACTGAAGGCTTCCAAGGTTCCTTTCAACTCTGTTATATTGTTATGTCATTTCTTAATCCTGTTAATCTGTATAAGTTGCCCAGAAGGATAAAAGTAAATATCCAAACTTAATGTACTCATCTGAGAATGGTCATACAAACTTTCCATGAAACAATACCTGGTTAAATGATGTATGCCAAACAATCATATCCTCATTAATGACTAATTCTTTTCCACTCAGAGCATCTGGATCCACTTTTCCAACCTTTCGTCTCTGGAAAGTGGAATTGGGAAAGGTGACTATGTTGATGATATCAAATATACCTTCCATCTTCTTTTGATCATAAAAAACTATGGCCTCTCCAAGTGAATTATTGAATTTGATGCTTTTAAGAAATTGGTGGAGCTATATTGGGATTTAAAAAAAAAGAACAATAAAGAATAGAAAGGTATGAGTAATTTAGTCCTAGTTTCAGAGTGTCTTTCAGGGAGACACTCTGAAAACATGGAAAGCTCATTGAGAACCTGTTTACTACCCTCTACATATGCAAGTAATAAGAAAGATCAGATATTTTGAACAATTGTTAAATGAGAGATAAAATGGATTCTAGCCTCCCACATCTTCCTGATCCCAATTCTTCATATTGCATAGGAAGAAGTGTATGAAACTGGAAAAATAACTTGCTCTCATCTTTTATTCAAGTTATTCTTAGAGATATAAGGCTGCTATGGACATGATAAGATTTGCTAAAACTGATGAATAGCTTGCTTGTTAAATAGGATTCCTCTATTATCCTCAATAATAGGTGATATGCCTAAAATGCTACAGGGGTTCAAAAACCAAACCATGAATATTAATTCATTTAAACCATCTTTGCATCCTGAAGATGTTCAGGAATGAAATAGAAATTCTATCAAAGTAATGGAAATAAAAATATACATCTAAATATTACTGAAAGTCAGATGTCCATTTTAATAACTGCTTCTTCCTTGCTGGAATCACTTAGTCTAACATTGTACTTTACCTTTATCTAGTAGAAAGTACTTGTAGCACAAAAATCACCTGCCATGGTTGCACACCTTCATATTCTGATAATTTATGCTTCACCAAATGCCTATGATTATATTGAAGTAAGGAGAGAGCATGTAAACCTTGAGCCAATACATAGATAGCATTATAGATACTATAGCTGTGCCCCGTCAGCTGTGCCTCAAAAAGAGCCCCAGGAATGTCCTCCAGCTTTTCCTCTCCAGTACAAGTGTCATCATCCAGAAGAGTCACAGGAGGAGATGGCAATGAACAATCAAATACTTGTTCCCAGAAAAGTGGGAAAAAGCCATCTTGTTGAATCCAAGGAGGTTTTATGAACTTCAGAAATTCCTTGAAACCAGGAATTTCTTTGGAGTGAATGGTAAAAAAGATGGCACCATCAAAGAACTGCCGATCCCATTTTCTTTGCATTCCTGTTAATATGTAATCCATCTGGGCAGTCATGATCCACACTTTTCCCAAAGAACTCTGCCCAAGTCCAGGATCAATCCAAAAAATGATACTTGTCACCCATATAATTGACAAAGATTCTCCACAGATGATAAAGGTACTGATCTTTTCAGTAGTTATTTGGTCATAAATAGTTTTCCCTTTCTCAAGCATCTCAAATAATTTATCCCAGTAAGTTAAAAAAGGAATTCTTTGTGTACAAGCAGAGCATATTCCATGCTGGGAAAAGAGGGACTCCATGGTCTGCAGAAAATAATCTCCATGCCTATTATCAATAGCAAGAAGCCCAACCCATATCCACCCAAAATGTTGAAGCAGTAGGATAATCCCAATATATTGTGTGGACTCATTTGGGACCATGGAGTAATAGAAGGGAATCTCAGCACTATGAATATCCTGGGGGGTAAATGACCCATATGTAAGCTAAAAGAAAATAAACACATATTATAGTATCAGTATCAGCATCTAGTTCTCTTTTGCTATTTGTGAAACTAATATTGGTCAACAGTTTTGGTCAGATTGTTGAGCTATGTGGGCATCATTCAGAGACAATCAATTTTTCATAGCCTTGGTTGAGAAAAAGAAAGGAGGAGAAAGAAAGGAGACCTCTCTTCCCAAAGATCCTACCTGTGGAATCTTGTGAAACTGTACAAAGTCGGCAATATAGGAAGAAGTTTCAAAACTGAGACCTCCAATGATAGAAATTAGATTTTTCCTGATGTCACATTTATAGTTGGGGACAAATCTCTCTGATCTGAAGAGCAGGTCCATGGTGGTCCGATATGTCATCATTGCATTGTAGTAGCTATCATGGATATGGAAGCCAAGAGTTATATTGGACAAGATTTTTGGATTCTCATTGATCTCCTTCACAGCAAAGGCCAAGGAAAGGACATGCTGGTAGAATTTCGTTAGCACTCTGAAAATAGGATAATTTATATGACCAAAGAGGGGTCAAAGTTTGAAAGAGGGGTTAAAGAAGCCATTTATGTCAACATTGAACAACCTTCTCTCAACAGAGGGGGAGGGATACGACATCATCTATCTCCAGTCTACAACAGTCCTTTCAGCAGTTCCAAGAAGGCTCCACATCCATTTGCAGCACTCAGGTGACCCTGAGGACACAAATAAACATCCAAGTGGCCTTAATGACTCTCTAAAAGAATGTAAATGACCAGATGTCTGCAAGGAGTATAAATCCTTCCATTCCCCACTATCCAGTCAGAGTTGCAGAAGCTTTTTGGATGAGAAGCAAAATGTCATTAAAGAAAAAAAAAAAAAGAAAGTCCAGTTGCCTCTTGAAAAATCACCTTTCAGACAACCATGACCTGGATGACTGGAAGTATTCATAGATATTACAAGGTAGAAACTTCCACATTTCTTGTAGGTGTATACACACTTAAATATGCATTTTTGCCTAAGTATTCTCCTTTTGACATAGAGAGGGCTTCCTGATCTATTGTTTCACATTTTCAAATTTTAGAATTTCAAAATATAGAATTTTGCTGCATCATAAACAAAAATAGCTTTATGGCATTCCATATTCCATAGAGCAGTATCTTTCACCAGAAAGGGTTCACATTATGGAAGGAAATGTACTCTTCCCCCCCCCCCCATTTATTATAATTCCTCTACCTAGAAATGCCACAAATGTGAAAGATAAGAATTGCTTACTCTGGATTGCCAAAATACTCCTGAGAGGGATGCTGCTGAAATGAAAGTTCATTAAAATGGTAATTAGCCATTGATACCATCCCACCAATGATAAGGTCCCCTTGCTGGTACCATTCATTTGGAACAGGTATGGGTTCACCTGGATGACACGGCAGCGACTTCACTCTGAAGAGTGGAAATAGGAGAAAAAATAACATTTGGACAGCAAATGCTCTTTAAATATAGAAGTTCCACTACCAGCAGCTTCCAATATTAGTCTGCATTCACCAACCTCAAAATTCCTGTTAAGTGCAAGGCTGAATATCACTTTTAGCCCTGATTCTTATTGCATATACTGTAGTGCTTATACCCAAAAGATCTGAATGGCACTGAGGAACTCCATCAATGCAACTTAATTTGGGTCAGTTGCCATCACAGGACTTGTGTATCATTTTCTTGTATTCCCCAGTCTCCATGGGACAGATCTTTCTTTACACAATTTTTTTTTCATTTCTTTAAAGTCTTATTCAAGTGTTTACAGATTTTATGAACAGAACAAATTATTATTTTTGGAATAATTCTAGTGGGGAGATAATTAGGACGTCAGAATTTTCTCTTCCACTTTTGGACATACGCTTTTTTAAGGATACTGAATTTAATATGTCCTAATTTGTTTTCTCTGCGTGTGGCATAATAAGTGGAAAGGCTTCAATTCATCTCAAAGCCACTCGTTGAACTATTAAAACTTGGATGATTTTCTACTTTGGGAAAGAAAGAAGGGAGGAAAAACTAACTAATTAACAGAAAAGTTAGGTAAAAGCCAGAATTTACACTTTGCATTAATTAATAAATGAAAATGTTGTTTGTTTGATTGATTGCTTTTTCACAATGATATGGCTGGCCATGAAACAATAGGAGATTCTGAATGGCATTCAGCAAACAACAAAAAAACAATAACTATATAAAAATAATCATTCTGAAAATATAAAGTCATCATTAAAAATTAAAAAAACCCACTAATGCATTTAAATATATAAGACACGTGGGTAGGGTAAAATATTAACTATAGTGGAGCCTTCTAAAAACAGTTCCTTGGGACTCCTCAGTCTTCATGACACAGCCAGGTTTTGAGGAATGGAGTCAACCTGTCTTCAGGGAAGAGAATGTTCCATAGGGCAGGTGCCATATCAGAGAAGACCTGCCTTTTTGGGCCCACCAAATGTAGGTCCTTGGCAGATGGTATTCATAACATGCCATCTTTGCTAGAACTGATAGACTTGTTGAAATCATTGGGGAGAGTTGATCCTTCAGATAATGGGACTCTGTGTCATATAGGGATTCAAAGGTCAAAAACACTTGGATCTGGACTTGGACCTGGAATTGAAACGGACTTGAAAAACAAACTGGTAGCCAACGCAGCTTGTGGGGCACAGATATAACATGTAAATTTCTAGGAAAACATATATTTCCCATACCATCCCACTCTGCAGCAATTGAAGCTTCTGTATATTTTTCAAGGGCAAACCCAGGTACAGTGCATTACAACAATCCATCTGGAATTAATTAGGGCCTGAGTGTCTATGCTGCTTTAGGAAAGGATGCAACTGGCATACCACACAAAGCTGTGCAAAACCCTCCTAGCCATGGCTACCACCTCTGAGCAGGACCCCCAGATTGCACACCAGGTCTATCAGAGGCAATGCCACCAGTCTAATACCAAAATGTTATAATCCTTGAACCAATAGTCCTTAAAATGCAACACCACTCAGTCTTGCCACAGTTGAGTCAAATCCAGTTGTCCCCCAACTGGACCCCCAGAGTCTCTAGGCACTGGGCTAAGATGTACATGGGACCACTGAATTTGCCAGTGGCAATGATGTTACCTCCACCCCATGGTAAAAGTTGAGCTCACCCATGGGCCTCATGTAGAGGTTGAATAAGAAAAGGGAGAGCACCACTCCATGTAGTAAGGACTTCTTCCCTGTCACCACCAACTATAATTTGGCCCTGAAGAAAAGAGGAAAACCAGCACAACACCATGCCGCTCAACCTCAATCCTCTGAGATAATCCAGAATTACACCATGATCAAAGGTATCAAGCCACCAAGAGGTCAAATAGGGCAATATGGATATACAACCCACATTTGACACAGGTCAGAGATCATCCGAAAGTACAGCCAATACCATTTCTGTTCCATACTTGGGCCTGAATTCTGAGTGAAAAGAATTCAGATAATCTCCTTCAACCAAGGCCTTCTGAATCAGTTGTGCAACAAAACCTTAAAGGTCTTTCTCTTTCAAAGAAGAAAGACAGCCTATGACAGTATTTACATTACTAACTTCCATTCAGAACCCATTTTTTTTATTTTTATTAAAAAGTTTTATAAATTTTACAGAAAATAAAAGACAATACAAAAACAAAAAACAACATATAGAAATAAAAAACAAACATTACCCAACAAAACCCCCCTGAGAAAAGGGTTTTTTTGGGTATAAATTTTATTAGTTTTTATAGGGTTAGGAATGAGGTAGGATTGGTATTGGTATTTGGGTTAGGGTTAGGATTAGGGTTAGGGCTGGGGTTAGGGTTTTTCCAAATAACATTCTCAATATTTAGCAAACAGCATAATGTCTGGGTTCATGTATTTATTTTAACAAGACATAAAGATAATAGTTAATTATGGTAAACAATATGTTAATTAAACGCTCAATAGTCTTCTTCTTACTAATATATATTCAAAGTTATATATCACATTCCTTTATCTCTAACTCATGTTTCTAGCCATTGATAGAAATTATCCCATGTTCTAAAATACACTGAGTCTGCTTTCTCTTTTATCTTTAAAGTCAATCTGTCCATTCTGCACATTCTAAAATTTTCTTAATTAATACTTCTTCAGTTGGTAAATTTTCATTTTTCCAATCTTGGGCAAATACAGTTCTTGCTACAGTTACTATGTGTAGAAGTAAATATATACAATCTTTCTCAGAATTTGCTCCTATTATTCCTAACAAAAATAATTCTGGCTTAAAGTCTATTTGTTTTTAGTCATTTTCTCCAACCATAAATTTATTTTTATCCAAAATCTTTTTGCTTTTGGGCATGTCCACCAGATATGATAGTAAGTACCTGGTCTTTGTTTGCATTTCCAACACTTGTCTGAAGTATTTTAAAACATTTTTGCTAATCTCACTGGTGTCATATATCATCTGTAAAACATTTTATATAAGTTTTCTTTATATGCCATTGCTTCAGTTAATTTAACATTCCTTTCCCATAATTTTTGCCACTCTTCTAATTCTATATTATATCCAAAATTCTTTGCCCATATTATCATCTTTTCTTTAACTTGTTCTTCCTCCATCTTTAAGTTTAACAGAAATTTATAGAATTTCTTAATCAACTTTTCATCTATTTTAACAGTATCTGATCAAATTCTGTCTGTTCCTTATAGAATCCCATTGTTTTAACATCTTTTTCATGTCTCGTTTGAATTTGCCAATATGGCCACCATGATAGAACAATACATTGTAAATCTTGTCTGTCTTTCAATTTTTCTTCATTGTCCAAAATATTTTTATAAGTCACAACTTTATCGTAATTAATTAAATTTGGGTAAGCGAAGGCTTCTATTGTTGAAAGCCAGCCAGGTATCTTAATATAAATTTTTGCTTTTATTTTTTCCCATTCTGAAAGAAGTGCATTTCTTATAACGTGGTTTAGAAAGTATCTATGTGTTTTATTCTTCCCATACCACAGAAAGGCATGCCAACCAATCTGTAGGTCATGCCCTTCTAGGTATAATAGTCTTTTGTCTCTAAGCATTAGCCATTCTTTAAGCCATGTTAAAATAGTTGCTTGGTAGTATAACATCTAGTCCGGCAATCCAAATCCTCCACTTTCTTTTGGTTCTTGTAGTATTTTCAGTCTAATTCTTACTTTTTTCCTTGCCAGATAAATTTCAGTATTGTTGTATTCAGTTCATCAAAAAAGGCTTTTCCCGGCCTTACAGGAATCGTTTGAAATAAGCCGCATATGTGAAGTAGGCGAGGGCCATTTGTTGGCCACTTCCAGGTGATGGTCATTACCTCATTCCTCATGAAGGGTGACACCTTCCCAGTAAGCACCCAGGGGCGGGGCTGATGTGGCAGGGGCTGGTTCCTCGCTGTTTCCAGCAGCCTTGTGGAGCTAAGATTGAATGTGTTTCAGCATAGATGGCTACCACAAAATTGTACATTGGTTCCCGGCCGGCCTGGGCCAGGGCCAAAGCAGTGGGGGCTGTTCTTCACTGTTTCCAGGATGGCTTGAAACCACATAAAACCACTTCAGTGGCCGCATCCAGCCCCCGGGCCTTGTGTTTGACATATCTGGTATAGGGGGTCACTTTCTCAAATTGACAATTAAGAATTATAAGTTCTTTTTTTTTCATTTGTTACGTCCAGTTATGGAAAAAACGTTTAATAGATAACACTTCCTGGAATTGGTTCAAATTACTATAATGTGTTTATTTGTTCAAAGCTCCAGAGATTTTCCAGAAAGCAGTGAAAAATACAAAGCAAGGTTGAAAGAGGTTATAAACTAATCCCAGTTCCATGGAGAACTTGGGGTGGTGGGAAGTGTCAAACAGGGCTATTGGGTTCATTTCTTCCAGCATCTGATCTTTCTTTGATCAGACCAATTTTAGATCTGAGTTGTAGAAATCTCAGTCATTACTCAAGCACATGTCTGTATCTCCATTAAAGTTACAGATTTAGATTGATACTTTTTTTCTTAGGAGGTGTGTTGAGAAATCTGGTATGCTAAGTCAGATTCATTGGTGTGGGTTGATATGTTGGAGACCTATTTTGGAAGATTTTTTGGCTGCTGATGTGTTATTCATTCTGATGTTCCCAGTGATCAAAGTGAATGCATTCAAGTGCCTGGAGGTTGATCCTATTCCTATTCTACATGAATGGTACCAACCAGGTGATCTCCTCATTGGAGCGATGACTTCACAGCATCTCTATGCCTCCAGTGAACATACCTTTTATGAATATCGATCTGAGGATCTTTATGGACTTTCAGAGTAAGCAAATACTACACTCTTCTTCACCTAATGATCCCTTGTTTCTTCTCAGATTTTCTATATGTTGACACCTATTCTTTTGAATTAAACGTTGTTCAAAGAAAGCGGATGAAAACTTGATCTGGTCATGTAACCGGTTGAGTTTTCAGAGAGTCTGAAAACTTATTTAGCTGTAAGCTAAATAAGACTTTTGTGCTCTCAATAAAATACTTCATTTTGTTTTTAGGAAGATGACATGAGAGGCTGAACATGAATTGTTAGATTAGAAATCTCTAGGACACAGGGATTTAATAAAATGAAAAAAAAATATTTAAAAAGATATTGTTAGTCTATTAAGTAAAGCAAGAATAGAATTTATTGATTTGTTATTTTGGAGGAAAGAAGAGCATACCAACATCCAACTTTAAACAAAGTTTATTTGAAAGACAGAATTAAAAAATTATCTACAGTGCTCTATATAACTGAAAGTACTGTAGCTGAAGAAATTTAGAAAGCAAAGCTGCATAAAACATGGTGCTCAAGGAATACCTATCTGAAACTGGAAATGTTTATCTCAAATTATAAGACAGTGTTTGAAGTAATGAAAAAAAAGCCACTGGCAAAAAAGAGGATTCTTCCTTCTCAACTAACTCACTCACTGCAGAATTAGTTTCTCAAAGATTCTGAGGAATTCCACACTGTGTCCTAAGCTGTTGGTCTCTTTCGCAGTTTCTAGTTCTTTCTTAAGCCAATTTCTGAAATTCCAGTCTGGACTGCATTGAGGCCAGGATGATTTGAGTCTAGACTATTGTTACTGTAGGACCTGATTATTCTCCAGGGTCTTGCCTTTTTTTATCTGTGCAGGGAAGGTCAAGCTGTTGAGTGCTTCTGAATGGACTTGTCTACTAGCATCAGCCTCTCCCTTTTCCTTTTCAGATTTGCTCCTTCCTCCTAGACTTTGCTTTGCTGCCAGGTGTCCTAACTAACAGATGTATTAGCTTTTCTTCCCACAGTATCATCACCACCACCCCTACCCCTTATGGCACTATCCTAGCTCTGATCAAAGCAATAGGGAACAGTTTGTTCCATTTTTCCTACGTTCTTCTGTAGGTCCATGGAAATTAGCTAGGAAAGAAAAATGAATAGTTAACCTTCAATGAATCAGAATAGAGCTGGAAGGGACCTTGGAGGTCATCTAGTCCAACTCCCTGCTCAAGCAGGAAACCCTATACCATTTCAGACAGGTGGCTGTCCAGTCTCTTCTTAAAAACCTCCAGTGATGAAGCACCCACAACTTCTGAAGGCAAGCTGTTCCAATGGTTAATTGTTCTCACTGTTAGGAAGTTTCTCTTTAATTCCAGGTTGCTTCTGTCCTTGATTAGTTTCCATCCATTGTTTCTTTTCTCACTTTCTGGTGCTTTGGAAAATAAGTTGACCCCCTCTTTGCGGCAGCCCCTCAAATACTATATTACTGCTATTATGTCTCCCCTAGTTCTTTTCTCTATACTGGCCATTCCCAATTCCTTCAACCGTTCTTCATAAAGGAGTAGTAAAGAAGAAAGTGGAATACATATATCTGCATATATCTACAGGCAAACAGTTCAGTTCTTGCCACTGAAAGGAGCAACATTCTGTGAATGAAATGGGTAATAAAACGATCCTTTCTAAATACTATAGAGACCGTAGCCAAAAGTGTTTAATAGATTAGAAACATCAGCACTATATTTTAAAGATCTAATTCCAATCTCCGGCAGAAACCACTATTTTTTTCAATACTATTCTATGCTTTGTATAATTGTTTTCTGTTTTTTTTTCTCTGTTTGTAGTCTCATTACAAAATTTTACCAGCATGTCCTTTCCTTGGCCTTTGCTGTGAAGGAGATCAATGAGAATCCACATATCCTACCTAATCTTACTTTTGGGTTCCACATGTATGACAGCTACAATAATCCAAAGCTGACTTATCGGACAACCCTGGACATGGTCTTCAAATCACAAACATTTGTCCCCAACTATGAATGTGGCACCAGGAAAAAACTCATGGCCATCATTGGAGGACTTGGGTCAGATACTTCATCCCATATAGCAGAAATGATAGATTTTTACAAAATTCCACAGGTGGGTTCACAGTTGAGGGGATTTATCCTGTTCTTCTTAATTGATTAAAAGATTAATCAGTTGATTAAGGATACCCAAGAGCATCCTTTGTTGTTCATTCTCATAAATCTCACCTAAGATTTAAGTGATGCAAAATCAAAATTAGAGTCCATGGTGTATGAATAACAGAATAATAGAGTTAGAAAAGACCTTGGAGTCTTTTAGTCCAATCCCCTGCTCAAACAGGAGACCCTATACCATTTCTGAAAATTGGTTGTCCAGTTTCTTCTCAAAAGCCTCCAGAGATGGAACACCAAAACTTCTGGAAGTTCACAAACCATTCCAACGGTTGATTGTTCTGTCAAAAAATTTCTCCTTAGTTTTAGATTGCTTCCCTCCTTTATGAGTTTCCATCCATTGCTTCTTGTCCTACCTTTTGGTTTTTTGGAGAACAGGTTGACCCCCTGTTGTGTTTCCTGCTAGTTTGGATGAAATAATGTTTTTCCAAAAATGTTTCTATATTTTCAGAAAAAAAATCAAGAAATTATGGATAAAGAGTAAATTATAATATGTCCATTCAATTTTTGAAGTGATCCATAAACATGCATAAGCAAAATGAAAACCTTTCCTTAACTCCATGGCTTTTCTTTCAGCTCACATATGGATCATTTCCTATGGGAAAAATTGATAAATCATCTTCACTTTACTTTATGGCTCCAAATGAAGTTCCTCAATATTTCGGGATTGTCCGATTGCTTCAACGTTTTGGATGGAAATGGGTTGGGCTTTTTGCTTCAGACACGGAGAGTGGAGAACATTTTTTGCAGAAATTGGGGCCCTTGTTTTTCCAGCAGGGAATTTGCTTAGCTTTCATACAAAGATTTCCAAAACTAATGTGTTCTGATGACTTGGGCAAATTCAGTGATATAATGTTTCATTTTTACACACATTTCACAGATGTTAAAACAAATACATTCATCATTTATGGAGAAACTTCTACATTAGCCTGGCTGACAGCTCTCAAATCTATATGGGAAGCTGCAAATCCGGGAAATGCACCTTTAAGCAAGGTGTGGGTCACCACCAGCCAAATTGATTTCACACTAACAGGAACCCAAAGGGAATGGAATCTCCAGTTTTATGATGGGGCCATTGCCTTCCAAATCCATTCAATTGAAAATCTGGAATTTGAGGAATTTCTTTGGTCCATAAAACCCTATTCAAGGCAAAGAGATGGATTTCGAAACCATTTTTGGAAGCAAGCATTTGACTGTTTCTTTCCTAATTCAAGCTTGTCATCATTAGGCAGTCAAGAATGCACTGGTGAAGAAAGACTGGGAAACCTTCCTGAATCTCTGTTTCAATTACAGATGTCTGGCCACAGCTACAGTATCTATAATGGGGTTTATGCTGTGGCTCATTCTCTGCATAGCATGCTATCAAAGGGATCTAATTTCAGAAAAATCTTGGCAGATAAAGTGGCTGAATCTCCAGAATTACAGCCTTTTAAGGTAAGGCTTCTCCAACCAACATATTTTCCTTTCAATGAAGAATTTAGTACAAAATGAGTAAGCTCACAAAATGAGCTAAACCTTGATTCCAGGCACAATCTATTGTTCACGTAAGTTTAGTTAAGATGACCTTTTCTGCCCCAATTAGATTGCATTTAATTTTCTCCACAAGGAAGATTGCATCACATAATTCCGTGTATGTTATTCACTGACAATATTTTGTGAGTTGACATCTAATTCTATTGAGCAAAGTCAAAATTCTTTACAACATATACTCTTTGTTTTGTATTCACACTTTATCCTGTGAAACTGCATAAAGAATTTTGGAAATAAAACACAGAAACATAGATTAACAGAGTTTGAGGGGACGTTGAATGTCCTCTAGATGAACCCCTGCTTGACCAAGAGATCCTATACCATTTCAGACAAATAGCTGTCTAATCTCTTCTGTAGGTCCATCAAAATTAACTAGAAAAGAATAATGAATAGTTAAGCTTCAATGAATCAGAATACAGTGGGAAGGGACCTTAGAGGTCTTCTAGTCCAACTCCCTGCACAGGCAGGAGACCCTATACAATTCCAGACAGATGGCTGTCCAGTTTTTTCTTAAAAACTTCCAGTGATGAAGCACCTACAATTTCTGAAGGCAGGCTGTTTCAATGGTTAATTATCCTCACGGTTAGGAAGTTTCTCCTTAATTCCAGGTTGCTTCTCTTCTTGATCAATTTCCATCCATTATTTCTTGTCTTGCTTTCTGGTGCTTTGGAAAATAGGTTGACTCCCTCATCCTTGTGGTAGTCCCTTAAATATTGGAACATTGCTATCATCTCTCCCTTAGTCCTTCTTTTTACTAGACTAGACATACCTTATTTCTGAAATTGTTCTTCATAGGTTTTATCTCTAACCTCGTAATCATCCTTGTTGCTTTTCTCTGTACTCTTTGAAGTGTCTCAACATCTTTTTAATATCATGGTAAGCAAAATTGGATGCAGTATTCCAAGTGGAATGTCTAATGTTAAAACAGGGAATGTCTATAGTTGATTTATTTCATTATTGTTCTTTCAACCTCATTACTTTCTTCTTTTCAAGTAGCTCCATCCATTTCTTCAAGGCATTTCTTTTAACAATTCAGCAGGAGAGAAGGTGTCCTTTAATGAGAAAAGAGAAGTTGCAGGAGGATTTGACATAAACAACATTATTGTTTTTCCGAACAAGTCCATCCGGAATGTGAAAGTGGGAAAGCTAGATTGTGATGCATCTTATGGAAATGAATTGATCATTAATGAACATCAGATTGAATGGCACAGAGGTTTCAATCAGGTAGGGACCTACATATATGTTGAATGCTTATAATTTTACAGATTCCTTAAATGAAAATGTTAAAATGCTTCCAACTGTTCCACACTGGTCACGATTTTCTTTATAACTAACTAACTAACTAACTAACTAACTAACTAACTAACTAACTAACTAACCAACCAACCAACCAACCAACCAACCAACTAACTAACTAACTAACTAACTTTGTTTTCAGCTGGTGAAAAAGCTTAACAACTTGGCAACTATTTCTCCATTTTTTTTATTTTATGATCAGGTTCTTCCAGTTTCTCTATGTAACGAATACTGTCAGCCTGGATATTGGAAGAGAAAATCTGAACAGAAAAGCTTCTGCTGCTATGATTGTGTTCCATGTCCTCAGGGGAAGATTTCAACCAAGATAGGTCAGTTTTGAAGTCCTACAAATTATGAGACCATTGGACTGCAAATAAATTGTTTCCTTATAAGTTATAATTTTTAATTGTTATTGATGGCAAGTGCTGGGGAAATCAGAAGATTCAGGCAGTTCAAATGAGTATAAAGATGTGTTGCAAGTTTAAGTTCTCTACAAGAATCTGACCAAGTATCGATTAAGGGACAAGGAGCAATAGATGGAAACTAGTCAAGCAAGGAAGCAACCAAGAATTAAGGAAATTTTTTCTAACAGTGAGAACAATTAACTAGTGGAACAACTTACCTCCAGAAGAGGTAAGAAGAGATTAGACAGCCATTTATCTGAAATGGCATAGGTTCTTCTGCGTGAGCAGTGTGTTGGACTAGAAGACCTCCCGTCCAACTCTGTTATTTTGTTAATATAGGTATACAAACAACTAATGACAGACTCAAGGTGGTGCAGCAGTTAGAGTGCAGTACTGCAGGCCACTTTAACTGACTGTGTTCAGAAGGTCAGTGGTTCAAATCTCACCGGCTCAAGGTTGACTCAGCCTTCCATCCTTCCGGGGTAGGTAAAATGAGGACCCAGATTGTTGAGGGCAATGTAAATATATATATACATTGCCTACTGGTGTACACCGCTTAGAGAGTGCTTGCACTTAAAGCGGTATATAAGTCTCATAAATAAATAAATAAATATCAATCTTCAAACAATAGCAAAAAACGTTCATTAAAATGTGATAAATAGGACATCAATAAATTTCCATCTGATTTTTTTTTTAATCCAGACACAGAAGATTGTTTCAAATGTCCTGAAGATCAGTATCCAAGCATGAAGCAAGATCGATGCCTTAACAAAACAACAAGTTTCCTATCCTTTGAAGAACCTTTAGGAATGAGTCTGGCTTCAGCTGCTGTTTTCTTTTCCCTCATGACAACCAGTGTGCTTGGAATTTTCCTTAAGCGTAGAGATACCCCTATCGTCAAGGCCAACAACTGGGATCTCACTTACACACTCTTGATTGCACTTCTGCTCTGCTTTCTCTCTTCCTTGTTATTCCTTGGTGAGCCAGGGAAGATAACTTGCCTTCTCCGGCAACCAGCATTTGGCATTATCTTCTCACTTGCGGTTTCTTGTGTGTTAGCTAAAACTATTACTGTAGTTATAGCTTTCATGGCTACTAAACCAGGTTCTTCAATAAGAAAATGGGTGGGGAAAAGATTGGCTCTTTCCATTGTCCTTTCTTGTTCTTTTCTTCAAGCAGGTCTTTGCATTCTGTGGCTGGCAACAACTCCTCCATACCCTGAGTTAAACATGCACTTTCTTTTGGAAACCATGATTTTGCAATGCAATGAAGGTTCTATCTTCATATTTTATTGTGTCTTGAGCTACCTGGGTCTCTTGGCTATTGCCAGCTTCATTGTGGCTTTCCTTGCCCGTAATTTACCTGACAGTTTTAATGAAGCCAAGTTCATTACCTTTAGTATGTTGGCCTTCTGCAGTGTGTGGATCTCCTTTGTTCCAACCTATCTGAGCACCAGAGGAAAAGCCATGGTGGCTGTGGAGATCTTTTCCATCTTGTCCTCCAGTGCTGGGTTATTGGGATGTATCTTTTTCCCAAAATGCTTCATCATCGTATTGAGGCCAGAACTAAATAGCAGGCACCAACTAATCAAACGAAACAATTAAATTTTGTTTACGTTATTTGTATGAATAAAAGGGGAAGGATGTTAGACAGAAAAAATAAAGAATGCCATTTCCAATGTTCCTTCCAACAATTAGATTTGTTCTCAGTTACTGAAGAAGCGATTCAACAATATAGAATAGAACAAAAGAGAACAGAACAGAATAACTTTATTGTCACTTTAAATGTACACTAATCGGCATACATTAAAATAAAATTTCATTGCATACAGCTCTCAAAGGTCACCACCTTCAATATACACTAGATATCTATGACCAAAAATTGTATCTATTCACATATCCACATATATTCTATGACACAGAGAAATAACACAATGTAGTTCAGTTCTATACATGTACATGGTGATAAAAATGAATTGTGTGAGTTTATAAGACTGATGGCATAGGGAACAAAACTGTTGCAGAATCTAGTAGTCCTGCTATAAATACTTTGAAACCTCCTCCCAGAGGGGAACAACAGAAACAGACCCTGAAGTGGGTGTATGGGGTCTCTAACAATGTTCTGAGCTCTAAGTACTATAAGCAGGGCTTTTTTTTCTCATATAATGCCCAGAATGGAGTTCAGGCACCTTTTTTGGATGGAACCTTGTAGGGTAGGCAAGGTGGGTTGTATGACATGTGTGAGTTCCGGCACTTTTTTTTTTTTTTTTTTTTACTATTCTCCAATCTATTTTTGGAGTGTCTCCTAATGCTTTCGAAGAAGACTCGTGAAGCTCTTACCTTGTAAACAGTTGTGTGCAACCATTTGTCAGGAACATCAAGATTAAAATTTCCCTCAAATATTTTTCTGGGGGTGGTCAAAATCCTGACTTTATTTTTAAATCCCTGCAACTTTTTTTAAACATTTAATTAAAAGTTTGGAACCTGCCACATTATGATTAATAATGAATTGTATAAGTCCAGTGCTTTAATGATATCCTTTACCTGATTATTTTTCAAGCTAAAATAATATTTAATATATTCAGATATGTCATTCTTCTTTCCCCAAATAAATCATACCTATCATATTTTAAAAAGCTATTTAGAGCCACATTTAAGTCCACCTTTAGACATAGAAACTGATTTGTTGACTTTGGGTCTTAGTCTAAGACAAATAGTGGTCATCACGCATTATGTGTCTGAAAGAAAATAATAAAATAATTTATAACCCACTGTTTCCAAGTCTTTCAATTTATCCTTCAAACAGGAGAGAGCTGCTTTCTGCTTTTTTCACATCCCAAGAAATATCTTTCTGTGAAGTTGGGCTTCTTTCATACTTCTTTCAGAGTGGGAGCTCAAGAACTATATCTTTTTCTGTGCATTTGTTTTAAAATTACATTTGGCATTTAGTTTAATTCATAGGAGCTTTACTTTTCTCTGAATTTCTTATTGCTGGTAAGGATTTTATATGTTACAGATAAAGATCTAACTTTAATCTCTAAATATGATCAATATCATCTTTTGTTTAAGCATTGCTTTATTTTGTTTGTAAAAGCATGCATATATGTACACAGACATGCCTCTGAGTTATAAATTTTATGAAATCTCTCATATTTCAATTCAAATAAATCCTCCTCCTCCTCCTCTTCCTCCTCCCCCATATTTGGTGGCTGGATGGGACTCTACAGACTTCGTGCAAAACCTGGGGCCCCTCATGAAGTGCAGATGGCAGTCATGGCTAAGAGGGCCTTTCAATAATACTTTGTGTTATATACCAATTGAGCCAATTCCTAGATTGGGAGGGTCTTATGCCATAGTCAGCTGACCAAGTAGATTACAGGGGTCTGTCCTTGAAGAGTGTTCAAAAGCTTCAGAAGCTTCACCTCATGTACAAAGCAGTGGTGTGAGTAGTTATATGTGCTTCTAGAATGGTGCATATTACATTTCTGTTCTGTGAGTTGCCAGATTGTTGTTGGATCTAATTCAAGATGCTGGTTTTGAACTTTAAAATATTTTATGACATAAGACTGGATTATTTATAGAACCATATCCACTTGAGTTCATCTGCCCATCCGATAAGATTGGAAGAGCTATACTGTGTGTATTGACTGTTTGGGGGGGGGGCAGTAAGTGGCTGAGTGGTTAAGATGCTGGGCTTATCAGCTAGAAAGCTTGCAGCCCAGGTTCCAGACCCAAACTCCACATGACTGGGTGACCTCCCGTCCTCACCCCAGCTCCTGCCAACCCAGCAGTTTGAAAGCATGCAGATGTAAGTAGATAAATAGGTATCACTTCAATAAGAAGGTAACAATGCTCCATGATATAATGCTGGCCACATGACCATGGAAATGTTTTTGGACAACTCTGGCTCAATGCCTTCAAACAAAGATGAGAACTGCTCCCCACAGTCATCAATAACTAGTGGAGTAAAATCTGCAAGGACTATTTTACCTCTTTTATCTGCCTGTTTAAGAGCTACACTTGGTTTAACATAAGAGGTAGGCCTTTTCTGGTATGGTGCCCTCCTTACAGAATGTATTTCTTCCCAAAACCTGATTATGGTATATAGCTTCAGAGTCACATGAAACCAGTGAGGTACTAAGGTTGTTCCATTGTATTTGCTATCTGCCATCCTCTCTTAGTCTTGAATAATGATTTTTAAAATTTTCTGGATAATACTTTTTATGTATTACTGTTTTATTTTATACTGGCAAGAGCCATTCTTTTGTAAGATAGACAATTATATACATTTGATGAATTAACAGTCCTTGTGCTTTTTGAGTTTAATTGTTTTCTTGCAAACATTTCATTACCCAATGTCATCAGTGCTAGTAAGGAGTAGGGTTTGCTCTCATTCTAGTGGCTTGTCCTGTTCATGTTGGTGGAGGTGGTCTTAGTGGTTCTTTGGTTGGGCTGTTTATTGTTTGTTTGTTTGGCAGTTTGTTGTGTACTTGATCATTGGCCTGATGTCAATCTTGGAGTTAATCTATCCTCAGCTGGGGCTGATTGCTGGTGGAGAGGTGCTTAGGCTTTTATGTTCCCATTTTGACTAGTTGATTGTCTCTTTTGCATAGCCTGAAGTGAAATTTAAATTTAAAATGAAGTTTAATGTAGAGAAAAGCAAGATTTTACACTTAGGCAAGAAAAATCAAAAATACAGCTACAGACTAGATGAAACCTGGCTCAATAGGAGCAGCTACAAGAAGGATCTTGAGCCAACAGTGTGTGGCAGCAGCCAAAAAAGGCAATGCAATCCTATATTGCAGTAATAGAGGGATAAAATCAAGATCATGTGAAGTACTAGTACTACTCTAAAAAGCCTTCAGGTAAGGAGGTTAAGGGGCTGCTACAAAGAGGCAATCAACTTATTTTGCAAAGCATCTGAAGGCAGGACAGGAAGCAATGGATGGAACCTAATCAAGGGGTGAAGCAGCCTAGAACTAAGAAAAAAATTCCTAACAGTGAGAAAAATTAACCAGTGGAACAGCTTGCTTCAGAAGTTGTGAGTACTTCATCATGGAGGTTTTTAAGAAGAGACTGGATAACCACTTGTCTCAAATTTATAGGGTCTCCTGCTTGGGCAGCAGGTTGGACTAGAAGACCTCCAAGGTCCCTTCCAGCTCTATTCTGATTGATTGATTGACCACATTTAGAATACTGCATCCAGTTTTGGTTACCCCAGTGTAAAAAAAAAGTTGAGACTTTGGAAAGAGTTCAGAGAAGAGCAACAAAAGTGATTAGAGCTGTAGAAGCTAAAACGTATGAAGAACAATTGCAGGAACTGGGTATACCTAGTCTAGTAAAATGGGGGTAACATGATGGTACTCTTCCACTACTTGAAGGTCTGGCACAAGGAAGAGGGAGGCAATTTATTTACTAAAGCACTGTAGGCAGGAGTAGAAACAATGGATGATAACTAGCCAAGGAGAGAAGCAACCTAGAACTAAGGAGAAAATTCCTAACAGTGAGAACAATTACTGTATTTGATGGTATCATTGGATGGTATCATTGGAAAAATGTGAATGAAGAATATTAAAATATTCAATTAATTCTGTGTTCTTTTTATAGCCTTGGCTGCTTAGTCTAATACTGGAGGTTGGATTTCATATAATTGATAAAAACTATGCTAGGAATCATATTTAAGTGCATATATTTAAAGTTTGATTAAACTTAAATAATTCTGCATGTATTATTTTGATACTGATGTTCTTCATTTGAATGTGACAACTTAATTGGAAAGTAATATGATATTTACATAATTTAATTCCTTTTATTAATTGCTCCTTGTTGTTCAGTTCTGGCCTCAGCAAAATGATGAAACATTTTGGGAAGAAAATACACCCTAGTAAGGCTGCACTGGGGGACAAGATGGAGAAGATCTGCACAGCTACCATGGCTTTCCCTGTAGTGCTCAGGAAGGTTGGCACAAAGGAGACCCAAACACTGCAAAAAGCCAACATACTGAAAGTAATACACTTGGTTTCATTAAAGCTGTCATGTAAATTACGGGCAAGGTATGCCGCAATGAAACTGGAAATAGCCAAGAAACCAAGGTAGCCCAGGACACAATAGAACATGAGGATGGAGCCTTCATTGCATTGCAAAATTATGGTTTCTCTAAGAGAGTGCATGTCTAATTCAAAGAATGGATAAGAGGTTGCCAGCCACACAATACAAATACTGACTTGGAAAAAAGAGGACGAAAAAACAATGATAAGGGCCAATCTTTTTCCTATCAATTTTATATAGTGCATTACAACAGTCCATCTGGAATTAATTAGGGCCTGAGTGTCTATGAGCACAGCCTGCTGCTTTAGGAAAGGATGCAACTGGCATACCACACAAAGCTGTGCAAAAACCCTCCTAGCCATGGCTACCACCTCTTCTCTGAGCAGGAGCCCCAGATTGCACACCAGGTCTATCAGAGGCAATGCCACCAGTCTAACACCAAAATGTTATAGTCCTTGAACCAATAGTCCTTAAAATGCAACACCACTCAGTCTTGCCACAGTTGAGCCAAATCCTGTTGTCCCCCAACTGGTCCCCCACAGTCTCTAGACACTGGG